GAATGTTTAACGAATTAACGAATTAACAAACGAAACCGCACAGGCCTAATATATATATATATATATATATATATATATATATATATAGTACCAGGAGACAATGTGAGACGATAGAAGAAGATACAATCAATTGATTTAAAATTTTAATTGTTGGAATCTTCGATATATTATGTAATGTGTGTTAAAGAAATAGAGATGAAGATGTTGTAACTATGATAATACTGTAAAAGAACTCATCATTCCTCAACAACCTTCACCCTCTTTGCTTTATCCTCACAACATACCAGACATTTGTAAAGATGCAACTAACCAATAACTAATCTATCATCTCAAAATGTCTCATTTTCCTTCCCTTGTCCCCTCGCTCTCTACATATGGACCCTGCATGAAAGTCCTTGTTCAGTCAGAAGCCCAACTATAAGTGTCTAGCCCAGTGTTTCTCAACCTGGGGGTCGGGACCCCTGGAGGGGTCGCAAGGGGGTGTCAGAGGGGTCGCTGAAGACCATCAGAAAATGCAGTATTTCTGTTGGTCATGGGGTTTCTGTATGGGAAGTTTGGCCCAATTCTATTGTTGGTGGGATTCAGAATGCCCTTTGATTATAGGTGAACTATAAATATCAGCAACTACAATTCCCAAATGTCAAGATCTATTTTCCTCAAACTCCACCAGTATTCACATTTGGGCGTATTGAGTATTTGTGCCATGTTTGGTCCTGATCCATCATTATTTGAGTCCACAGTGCTCTCTGGATGTAGGCGAACTACAACTCCAAAACTCAAGGTCAATGCCCACCAAACCCTTACAATTTTTTCTGTTGGTCATTGAAGTTCTGAGTGCTAAGTTTGGTTCAATTCCATTGTTGGTGGAGTTCAGAATGTTCTTTGATTGTAGGTGAACTATAAATCTCAGCAATTACAATTCCCAAATGTCAAAATCAAACCCCTCCCCCCAACCCCACTAGTATTCAAACTAGGGTGTATTGGGTATTTGTGCCAAATTTGGTTCAGTCAATGAAAATACACCAGATATTTACATTACAATTGAGAACAGTAGCGAAACATACAGTTATGAAGTAGCAACGAAAATTATTTTATGTTTGGGGGGGGGGGGTTCACCACAACATAAGGAACTGTATTAAGGGGTCGTGGCATTAGGAAGGTTGAGAAACACTTGTCTAGCCTATAAGTCACTACTGAAGGACCACAAATAAATTGAGATATTAATGGTAACTCAACACCTCACAGCAAAATTGACTTTAGTACATTTCTAAAACATTGAATATCAGATTGACATTTGAAGCTTGTGTATTGAAATAATAATAATAATAATAATAATAATAATAATAATAATAATAATAATTTATTTATACCCCGTTACCATCTCCCAAGGGACTCGGTGCGGCTTACATGAAGCCGAGCCCACAATACAACAATAAACAATAAACAGCAATAATACAAAAACAATACAAAAACAAACTCATAAGCAAAATAAGCAATAAACATTAACAATAACACGATGCATTGAAACACCAACACCAACCTAGACGAAAACCATGTTTATCCCTAAAACTATTGGTTGCTACAAGATATTTACAGGATTAAAATCTGATAGCAAGTCATGTCTCATCCTTACTAGCAAACCTACAAGCTTTCTGTAGCCATCCTAACCTTTCTTTTTATCTTTGTGTCTACTGAGTGCTAAGTGGATAGGAAGTCACAAACCCGTTTTCTACTTTATGTGTCTATAACAGACAGAGAAAACTATTCATTTGATAAAACTGTTTTAAAATGTTGAATCAAAGGCTCATTGTAAAAGTGTGAGTTAATTTTGTACGTAGTCACAAGTATACCCATTTACAACACCGTAAAGCAGTGGAAGTGTGGGAAATAAATTTGCTGGCATCCAGGGGAGGAGTAAGACCATAATTTCCTTAATCAGAACAGCAAGTTCCTGTACAGGCAGTCCCCGAATTACAAACATCTGACTTACACACCACTCTTCATTAAGAACAGGAGTGAGACGACAGGAAGTGAGAGAAATTTACCCCTTGGAAGGGAAATTCACTCTTGAAAGAGTTATCATGGGGAAAAGGCACCTCCACTGAAGCTTTATCGCCAATCCTTATTTCCACAATATGCCAATTTTTTCAAAATCCAGTGATCACAGGGACAGAATGAGGTGAAATCTTCTGACTGGAGGTACAGACAGCAAAACAAACACCACCTTTCCCTATGCTACCCAAAACTTACTTATTTATTTATTTATTTATTTGTTTATTTATTTATCGTGGCATCAGAAACCATACCATTGTATTACATTTCTAACAGAACAAAACAAACAGATAAAAAAACCAGAGATTGTGCAAATTTGGTAGTTGATTAAATGTCCTTTGACCAGTATCTGGCCACTTGGAGTGCCTCTGGTGTTGCCGCAAGAAGGTCCTCCATTGTGCATGTAGCAGGGCTCAGGTTGCATTGCAGCAGGTGATCAGTGGTTTGCTCTTCTCCACACTCGCATGTCGTGGATTCCACTTTGTAGCCTCATTTCTTGTGGTTGGCTCTGCATCTCGTGGTGCCAGAGCGCAGTCTGTTCAGTGTCTTCCAAGTTGCCCAGTCTTCTGTGTGCCCAGTCTCTCATTTGGTATCACCCACGGATTGAGGTTCTGGGTTTGAGCCTGCCACTTTTGGACTCTCACTTGCTGAGGTGTTCCAGCAAGTGTCTCTGTAGATCTTAGAAAACTATTTCTAGATTTAAGTCGTTGACGTGCTGGCTGATACCCAAACAAGGGATGAGCTGGAGATGTCATTGCCTTGGTCCTTTCACTATTGGCTGCTACTTCCCAGCGGATGTCAGGTGGTGCAATACCAGCTAAGCAGTGTAATTTCTCCAGTGGTGTAGGGCGCAGACACCCTGTGATAATGCGGCATCAGGGGCGGCTCATCCATTACGCAAAGTAAGCAGTCGCAGTACACTTTTTTTTTGCCAGGGGCTCAGAGGCACCTCTGTAAATGCCCCTTGACCACCACTTGAGGAGCGCCCCCTCGGCTCACAACAGCCCTAGCAGTCCGGGGGAAGCCTCAGCAACCTATTACGCAAAGTAAGCATTTGCAGTATAGTTGATTGTGCCCAGGGGCACTCTTGAGGTGCTCTTGGGGGAAAATAAACCTTGACATATGCGAGTTGTAGTTACTGGGATGTATAGTTCACCTACAATCAAAGAGCATTCTGAACTCCACAAATAATGGAATTGAACCAAATATGGCACACAGTACTCCCACGACGAACAGAAAATATATATCAATAATTGGTTGGGGGCGGGGGGGGGGGTGCCAAAATACTGTTTGCTTACCATTGAAAATTATCTAGGGCCACCTCTGTGCGGTATGAACTATATTTATGGTTGTTAGACTTTAAAAATGTACCTGTTCTGACTTATGTACAAATTCAGTTGAAGAACAAACTTCCAGAACCTATTTTGTTCATAACTTGGGGACTGCCTGTATCTAGTCATGGTTACTTGCAAATAAGTCTCAGATTGCAGCACATATGCCCATACAAAAAGGGAACACTAGAAACTTCCCAGTACAGGACCTTCCTGTTTCAAAGTGCCTGGAATTTGTTTTTGTCATGTTGCATGGATCACTAACTGGCATGGGAAATGTTAATAATGATACATTATGCAAAGGTTTTCTTTAACAAGTACAGCAAATAAAAGTGGGAAATGCACACATTGTACCGTAGAAAGGTTGCAAGCAATGGCACTGAAGTCGTAGGTTACAACAACATCTGAAATGAGTCCAAGCCTGGGAATGTAGCCTAGCTTGTTTCAGAGGGATGCAGTTCGCTAAACACTAGCATGATTTAATGCTCCATCAATTATTTCCTGCCTGTCACTTAAGCAGGCTTCACATATGCATGGCAGGTCCAGGAGCCTAAAGACAAGGCAGGAAGGATGATTTACTGGTTGAGGGCAGCACCTGTAAGTTAAGCAGCTCAGAAATTAGCCACAAGTAGCATATTAGGGCAGCTAATCAGGCACGGTTGAGTATTTCAGTTTCTTGATTTCCCCATAAATAAGGCTGTATGTGGTTGCCCTGGGGCACGCTGGTGATTAAGTGCCCTGACTTACAGTAAAGTGCTTGGCCTGGACAATTTAGAGGGAGGTGACTGCAGGTGTGCAGTGTAAGCATGTTGCTTGGAAAGCTGATACATGGGTATATGGAAGGTCTTGGATATTTGGATGTCTTGTTCTCATGTTACTATCATGCTTCTTGAGGAACAGATTGCTTTCATGCGTTCACGTGTATCGTGTTAACAAGCTGTAAGAGCTATCAGCCATTTCAAGCCTATTGAACTCAGTAGCTCTGTGCCTCCCAGAATCAGTAGATGTAAGGATGCCAACTGGTTAGAAACTCAGTAGATAAACAGAGATACACATAAGGAGAGAGATCGAGATCACATATGGAGGTGCTTCTTCATATTATTTGTTCCTGCAGGTGAGATAGAATAATTTAGACAATTTTCTCCCTACTGCAGGATCATCTACGAAACATTGCTGAAGATGTTTCTGCAGTGGGGAGAAGGTCTTCCACATATTCATCTTTGATCAACTGTTACTGGCTTACATGTCCTGATGATAGATGAAATTTGCTCAGCTCCTCTTTCTCACTGGAAGGGAGATGGATGGGGAACCAAACAAGGAGAATTGCTTATGATTGGCTGTGTTCTGACAGCTGTTGTATGAGGATGTAGACATTGCCTGGAATTTCTTGCAGATTCTTCACAAATTCTGGAGGATTGTATGGTCGCTATGCACTGGCTATGATGCTTGGCTGCCTCCACGCTCCCATCAGTTGCTACATGGCTATATTGAGGGGAAAGGAAAAAGACCAATATAGCCTGGGTGGTGGTATAATCTTGTTTAATATAGTTCAAATCATCTGTAATACTCAACAAGAATCATGTAAAAAACCGAGGAACTTTTTACTAATGACTTGCGCGGATGCTGTGAGGAACCTTGGGCGGGATTGTCACCACCAACCATGGCTGAGGAAGGCATTGTTGCTGGAGGTGTAATGGATGTCAACACCACCCTTCAAGAAGTGCTAAAGACCACATTCATCCACGATGGATTGGCCTGTGGAATTCATGAAGTTGCCAAAGCCTTAGACATACGCAAAGCCCATCTTTGTGTTCTTGCATCAAATTGCAATGATCCTATATATGTCAAAATGGTTGAAGCCCTTTGTGCTGAACATCAGATCAACCTTATAAAGGTTGATGACAACAAGAAGCTGGGAGAGGGGGTAGGTCTCTGCAAGATCAACAGAGAAGGAAAACCCTGCAAAGTTGTGGGCTGTAGTTATGTGGTTGTGAAAGGCTATGTTAAAGAATCTCAGGCTAAAGATGTCATCGAAGAGTACTTCAAGTGCAAGAAATGAACAAATAAAATATTTTTAGCCTGGTTAAAAAAAGGAACTTTTGTGTAAATTAGGTGGCAATCAACTCCTAACAGTTTCTCTTTTCCTCTAGTCCAGCCTCTCCACTGCACTTTCCCTCTGTGTTGTCAGGTTTTCTCTTCCTGTCTGCTGCCTTAACTTTGCTACTCAGTTCCATATATATTGATACAGTCCTTAAATCCAGTGTTTCTCAACCTGGGAGTTGGGACCCCAGGGGTGGTCACGAGGGAGGGTTCAGAGGGGTCACCAACGACCATCAGAAAACACACATTTCTGATGGTCTTAGGAAACTTTGGCAGAGAAGGCTGAAGATCTCTCTGGCTTACCTTCTATTCCTGTTTGGTGTTGGTGAGCTACAACTCACAGAATTCAAAAATAGCCCTCCCAACCCCACCAATATTAAATGTTGGCCATGTAGGTAGCGTGCCAAGTTTGTTGCAGATCCATTGTGGGCTGGGTTCAGAGTGCTCTTTGGTTGTAGGTTAACAATAAATCCCAAATGTCAAGGTCTATTTTCCCCAAACTCACCAGTGTTCACATTTGGGCATATTGAGTATTTGTGCCAAATTTGGTCCTTCATTGTTTGAGTCCATGCTTTCTGGAGATAGGTGAACTATAACTCCAAAACTCAAGGTCAATGCCCACCAAACCCTTTCAGTATTTTTTGTAGGCCATGGAAGTTCTGCATGCCAAATTTGGTTCAATTCCATTGTTGGTGGAGTTCATAATGCTCTTTGAGTGTAGGCTAACTATAAATCCCATCAACTACAATTCCCAACTGACAAAATCAATCCCCCCTCCAACCCCATCAATATTCAAATTTGGGCATATTGGGTATTTGTGCTAAATTTGTTCCAGTGAATGAAAACACATCCTTCATATCAGATATTTAGATTACTATTCATAGCAGTAGCAAAATTACAGTTATGAAGTAGCCACAAAAATGTTATGGTTGGGAGTCATCACAACATGAGGAAATGTATTAAGGGGTTGTGGCATTAGGAAGATTGAGAACTACTGTTTAAATCTGTATTAAGACTGATGGCTGGAGACAGGGCATGAACAGATATTCTAGAGCAGGGGTCCTCAAACTATGGCCCGAGGGCCAGATACGGCCCTCGTTCAGGGTCAACCTAGTTGAAAGCACACAACAACAATCCTATCTCATCAGCTAAAAGCAGGCCCACACTTCCCATTGAAATACTAATACGTTTATATTTGTTAAAATTGTTCTTCATTTTAATTATTTATTGTTTTAAAGTGGTTTTTTGCACTACAAATAAGATATGTGCATTTTTCAAATTATAATCCGGCTCTCCAAAGTTTGAGGGACTGTCACCTGGCCCTCTGTTTAAAAAGTTTGAGAAACCCTGTTCTAGAGTGCTCTCTTTCTCTGTTTTTTCCGATGCTCTTATTTATCTCCCCAAATAATTGTATATTTTCTCGATTCCTAATATCCAATAGATATCCCCTTAGTATATCGATCTTGGGACAAGATGGCCTTCCTATGGCGAGGTGAAAATGAGTCAATGTTTTGTTCTGTGGTGAAAAATCTGTGGCTTATCCGGAGAGAAAGAACTCAGAGGACTGTTTCTCCTGCCAGGTTTTCATATGACAAGGAACTAGAAACTAAGCAAAGGTTTGTACAGCCAGCCTTCTATATCCATACAGTCTGTTCCTATAGATTCAGCTGTTCCCAGCTTGAAAATATTTACTAGGCTTGTTTGATCCAAAAAATACTCATTTCGAATGTAGGGGGTGCTGGTGATTCGATTTTGAAATGATTTCTTAAATTTTCTTGATAAAAAGATCGGAAATATCAGAAATCCGAATCACTTCGTTAATGGAAGGTGCCCTCCAGAACCATTAAGTAACTTTGGCAAAGCCAGAAAGCCTAAACAAACAGTTTTAAAATCTCGCGGTTTCTTCTAATGATAGTACCATGATAAATGATGGAGTTAATGTATTATGATAGTACCCAGACAGTGTTGATAAAAAGATCCAACTACATCCTGGATCTCTTCCTCATTACCTCTAGCATGTTTCCATCTTTTAAAGTTTCCCTTCCCTGGTGGCGAGCTGCGATGCACAGCGACGAGGTGGGCGTGGCTAAGCACAGCTCTTCTTGAAGGCTGCTAGGGGCATGGCCTTTAAGAAGAGCTGTGCTTAGCCATACCCACCTCGTCTCTCTGCATTGCAGCTCGCCACAGGGAAGGGAAACTGCGAGATTTTAAAACTAACACTTTTAAAATCTCGCAGTTTCCTTTCCCTGGCAGTGAGCTGCGATGCAGAGGGACGGGATGGGCATGGCTAAGCACAGATCTTCTTGAAGGCCACTGGGGGCATGGCCTTCAAGAAGAGCTGTGCTTAGCCACGCCACCCTCGTCCCTCTGGTTCGCAGCTCGCCGCCAGGGAAGGGAAACCATGAGATTTTAAAACCATTTGTTAGGCTTTGCCAAAATTGCTTAATGGTCTTAAAATGAAAATAACTGAGGGAGACATCTGAAAATAATTCCGAACAATGGGTAAGTGGTTTAAATCTGGAATTGCTCCTCCCACTATTCCTGCATGGTTCGAAAATTCAAAAGGAAATTTAATCCAAATTAATTGCGATTTTAGACGCTTCCGAACGAACTCAAACAAGCCTAATATTTACCACTCCAAAAAAATAAAAGAAACCTTGATTTTCTCTAAGGAACACAATCTTACTACTGGAGTTGGTTTCGTTATCCGCCTCCGCAAGCACGCATCACCTACTGTTAATCACAATGTGTAAATACTTTCTTGAAGAGTTTGAGGGAGGGGGACGTGATAGTAATTAGAACAGGATGGAATTTATAGAATCATAGAGTTGGAAGAGACCACAGAGGGCATTAAATCCAACCTTCTGCCATGCAGGAAAGGCACAACCAAAGCTTTTGGGGAACTTCTGAATATTTTCTTCTAAATGCCCAGGATCAAAATAAAAACAGATGAAATGTACTTGAAAACACAACTGTAAAAAAATGGAAATGTAATGTAAAAAGTGTTTCTAATCTATTCTGTTAAATGCGTATATTCAGTATTGGGAAAATATTTGAATTTTTAGATAAATACCTCTTAATGGAAAATTCAGGAGAGCAAATTGTTTTCTTCTCTCCCTCTGCCTAATTAAAATGTGCCCCATTGGATAGTGAGACAATTAAACCTTGTAGGCTTTGTAAAAACATAGCAGCAATAGTACTACTTTAAAACTCCTCTGATACTTTTGATCATTGTATTCTCAGGGTGGTTTATATAAAACAAATGAATTCGAGCCGTTTGGAAGAGGAGATGTTAAATCACAAGAACAACAAGCTGAAATAGTTACAACTAGAATCAAGCACAGGTTAAAAATAAACAGGCTTATTGTAAGAACTCTGGAATGATACCAAGATGATCCCCGAGCAGCCCTTTGAGATGTCAAAGATGATAATACAGTAACAACATTTGGGAAGTATTGCGAGTTTTACACTTAGCCTTTGGCAGGGATTTATTAAGACGGAATAAACCTTGTGACTTTTCAATCCCAAGTACAATTTGTTTCTCTAATATATCTGCAGGAGTAATGTGTGATGGAATCCTTTCTTTTCCCAGCTCTTCTCAGTGCTGATGATATGCTATAATTGGTTCTCCCAGGCCATATCTCAACAAGATAAAATACAACACATGTACATCTGTGGCCCAGTGTCACTGCCTTAAATGTACATCAGAAATGCATTACATCTTCTGATTGCTATTTTGTTTGCACAGCTTGTAGGTTCAGCATTTTCTTCTGTAATGTACTCTGCTGATTGCCTTGAATTATTGGTATGTCCTCTTCAACAGACCAAGTGCGCCTCATCCAGGAACATGGAACACAGGTATGCTCCATGTGTGCCTTGAGCCTTTTTTGTTTATTGACGGAAGCAGTTCAAATGTCCATGTGCATTATTACAGATCACTGGCATTCAGTGGGAGGCCGATGGGGTAGAGGGAGAGAGTTATTGCCCATAATGCCTTTAGGGTCCTGAATACACAATGGCAATTGCTTTGTCATAGGATACTATAGTATGTGTGGAATGCTGCGTGGGTGCAACTGAGTGGTCTCCAAACTCAAACATTACATTGCTTCTGCTTATGCATCTGGCCCTGCCCATGATAGTCTAGATGCTTTTTTTTGTATTTTGTTTTAGTTTATTCATTTAACATATACCCTTCTTTTCTCCTAAAGTATGACACTATTTATTTATCGTGTCAGGGGCAACTATTGCATTACATTTCTAACAGAACAAAACAAACAAACAGATTAAAAAACACAAAGTTTGCAAGCTTGCTGGTTGATTAAATGTCCTTTGACCAGTATCTGGTCACTTGGAGTGGCTCTGGGGTTGCTGCAAGAAGGTCCTCCATTGTGCATGTGGCAGGGCTCAGGTTGCATGGCAGCAGGTGGTCAGTGGTTTGCTCTTCTCCACACTCGCAGGTTGTGGATTCCACTTTGTAGCCCCATTTCTTAAGATTGGCTCTGCATCTCGTGGTGCCAGAGCGCAGTCTGTTCAGCGCCTTCCAAGTCGTCCAGTCTTCTGTGTGCCCAGGGGGGAGTTTCTCATTTGGTATCAGCCATTGGTTGAGGTTCTAGGTTTGAGCCTGCCACTTTTGGACTCTCGCTTGCTGAGGTGTTCCAGCGAGTCTCTCTGTAGATCTTAGAAAACTATTTCTTGATATATGGCACTGAGGACAGGTAACTCATAAAAATGGATAAAACAAACTCAGTTACAACAAGACTTATTTAATAAAAGTAGGGGAAGCTCAGCACCCATCTGGTTAAAAAAAGCCCTCCCTTTCCATAACAACCAAGTTTAATTAGCTCCTTTTCCACTCATTTTTAGAGCTATTGAGATGAAAGTTGCTAAAATGGTAGAACATATTTATCACTGTGTATACGGTAATGAAACTATGAAATGTTTTCCCACAAAATGTGGTACCAGCCAATGGCTTAAATGTTTTT